GAAAATTATTATTTTTTCTTTAAATTAAGCTTCCAAACATTATTTTTATTATGGGTATGTTTTTTTTTTTAATACAACATGTGGGGTGAGGGATCGAACTCATAACCTCATAATTGGTGGTATATATCAATTATTGTTAAACTATGCTCGTTTTGTTATTATGGGTATGTTTTATGTTATCTTTTTTTTAAATTATTTTTAAATTTTAAATCTAATTTGTAAAATTAAAGGGAAAATTAATAAGTTTTCAAATACTGTTTTTTCGTTTTTGAAATATTTTAAAACTTCACCCGTATTTTTAAGAATTATGAGATAAAACATGCATACTGAACAAATTATGAGACCAAAAACAAAATCCATATCAAAGGTCTTTCAAAGAAGACCATTGGTCATTCCTTTATTCTTCTGCTCCACGTTTAAACTTCTAAATTGCAAATATTTTAACCAAACTTTTCCCCAAAGTCCACAGGCTATCACTTTTATTTTATGTTATATAAGCTATTTTCATTCACACATAAGAATATAAAAAGGCAATAGGACAAAGAAAACAATGTAAACTGACCTGTAATTTTTTCTTGGCCGACAAGACAGAAGACAGAAAAAAGTATGCAAAAAAATTAGGGTTATGGAACTGTTGCAATGCCTCTCTATGTTATATAGAGGCGAGAAATTAGGAAAAGGTTCCAAGTAGAGTGGAATATGGTGAGAGTTTTTTTTTTAGAAAGAATATTCAAAAAGGAAATTTACTCAAGTTTATTTATTTATTTTTATTTACTGATATGGTAACTTTGGGCTGGCAGTATATTAGGCAAAGAGTTGATAGCAAATAAAATACTTTTTTTTTTCCATTTTTACTTTTTACTTTTGGGTTCTTTGCTTTCCCTTTACTTGTTTTTTTTTTCCTTCTAAATCCATGAGTAATTAAATTTACAGGAAGTAATGGAGAGCTTCTTTCGTGTGTTCAACTTGAACACTGTTTTCACTTTTTAGAAAGTCTATATCGATAATTGGAGAGAATTTGAAAATTTGTTTTAGAAATGAAGTATATTTATCAATAATCTCATTATTAAGTAATAATACGTTATAGAAATGTTTATAAAACTAACGTTATTAAATAAATGAGCTTTTGAAAATGTGGTATGATATGGATTTTTCTTTTTTACTGTAATGTGTGAGGGAATAGCTTCGAGACCTCTTAATTAAAAATAAGTACTTAAATATAATGTTTTACTTTAAAAAATTTGGCATTGTAAGGATTTACAAGTATTACAATATGTTTAAACATTTATAAAATTGTAATCAAGTTTTTAAAAGTTTAAATAAAGGTACGGCTTTTAAGGGATTCATGTTTTATTTTTGAAAATTTGTCATGGTTGAAACTTAAAAGGCACAGGTGTCGAAACATTTATAACATTTTAATCAAGTTTTAATATTAATTAAAAGTAGTTTTAAAACCCCGACTTTTATTTTTATTTTTTAAAATCTAACATGGTAATAATTTAAAAGGTACAACACATATCTAACTGCTGCATATATTTAGATTGAGGTAAGATAAGTATTGTATTTTTACACGAAGTTTAAGCTTAATCATTATTCCAAGAATAACTTGTGATAAAAGGATTTTTTGGACGACTGAAAAGACGTTTCAAAATTCAGACATTTGCCTTAAAAGTTGTTTCACAACCAATTTCCCACAAAATGTCCTGAAAATTTTCAGTTTTAGATTTGTAGAATCTTTTTTTGTCACCATATTACTTTCTTTCTTTATTTCAACAATCCACAAATATATCGTGTTTATTTTTATTCATACTTTTCATATGTATGTTTTTTCAATTCACCAAAACATTCTTCTATTTATCAAATATTTTACATTTTAAAATTATATTGTTTAATTATTATCCATTTAATTAATATTCTTTCCATATATATTCTAATTATCTTCTCCCTTCATTATTTTTTTTCCGTGTTTTCTTTCGATAGGATGATAAACATGTATTCCACTAAAATAATTATTTTTCATATTTTAATTATCTTCTTTCCTTTATTATTTTTTTCGACGTTTTTTTTCAATAATATGATAAACATATATTCCTCCAAAAGGTTACCTAATATGTATTTTTTATTGGTATATATTAAACTATTACCAAAGAAATTAAAGTTATATGATATACACTTTTAGTCTCAGTGTTATATTTGGTTATTTACTAAAATCTCCTTTTTAGTAAATGTGTTTTCTTTTATCTAACGTACAATACGATAAAAGATATAATTGTTAGAAGGATGGATTGTTAGTGTGGACCATTTGAAAGATATAATTGGCGGAGTTGTATAATACATGTGTTTTCTTTTATCTAACGTACAATACGATAAATAATATACTTACCCAATATGTTATATAATATACTTACATTTTAATAGTATATATTAAAATATTAGGTTATATATAATATATATACCTTGAAGTATACTGCATATGCTCAAAATATGCTCCATATTAACTTCATATCTTAACGTATACCCAATAATTAAAGAAACATATACCAACGTATACTCGATGTAACTAAAAATATACCCATGATAGACTTATTCTTTTTGAGAAAAAAGAAACTCTATGTTTAGTCGCCCCATTTGGTGTTCCTAGCCGTCGAAGAACCTCCACCCACCGTCGACGACGTCTGACGACTGCAACATCCCACCTTCGTCGACCTCCAATCGTGGCCACGATCGCAACATCCCCATTTGACGTGCAAATCATTCGTCCGACGACCCTCCCCCTATAGCTGCCAACGACCCTTCCATCGCCATGGAGAATGACTGCAACATCCCACCTTCGACGACCTCTGATCCGTGACATCCCCCTTTGATGTGCAAATCGTTCATCCATAATGATGACCCTCCCTCGGCAGCCGCCAACGACCCTCGCCCACCGTCCTGGAGAAGCTACGCCGCCAGTTCCCATGAGTCTCTGCTCGTCGCATGCATCATCGTGGAGAACGGGTTGCTGTTGTCTTGTGCTTCTGTCGTGGGTCGCCAATGCTTACTCTCGCCGAACGAGGGATCGAGGAAGGGGGCGGCGATTAGTCTTAGTGAGAAAGAAAGAGATTAGGGTTTGGTGGAGTGAAGGAGGGAAAGAGAAAAAGGGGTATGTCAGTTTTGAGAGAGAAAAAGATTATAGTTTCTTAAATGTTGGATAAAAATCATACATAGGAGGTCGACTAAAATTTTGTTATTTCATTTTTTTTTTTTTTGTAAATTTTGTATTTGTTTATTAAAAATATATGAGTATAGGTAATTTGGTAATTTTTACATGGATTAGAATCTCTATTATGACAAATCTATAACATTTAAGTCATTAATTACTTAATTAAATTCTTTAAAGAGCCTATTTAGGAAAACCGTAGTCCTACACATGGTTAAATGACACTGGTTAACATTTAGGTCGATCCCTTTCAGATTGAATTGAGGCTCAGCAAAAACGAAGGTCGGGCTCACTAATTTGGGTCGGCCATGGGCTTGACAAGATACTAGCTAGATATGTGACATATATTGATGGTGCCGCCCTAACATTGGAGTGCAGAGAATTTGGTGGCTAACGGGACACCTAAAAGTGATGGTCAGCCCTATAAGTAAATGTCATCCTCCCCCGCCAATTATTGTAATATATTTTTTCAAAAGATTTTAGGACGTATTTGAGAGTAATTGTAGAATTAGGGTATGTTTGGCCTTTGGGAGTGATTTTAGCTTAATCAAACTCACTTTTATCATTGTTAAAATCACTCACAAGCACACATTTATTAGAAAAAAGACGAGCATTACCTATTCAGTTCAAGGTGATGTTCTTTCAAGTAATAAAAAATTCTTAATGGTTGTAATTCGTAAAAACTGACAAGGGCAAAATAGTCCATCAAAAAACATTCAGTTAAATATATATTTTAGTTCTCGTGTTTTTCAATTTAATTCTTATTGTTTAAAAAGTTTAGGATTTTAGTATTTTCATTTATACAATATTTTTTAAGAGGAGCTTGCATGACATAAAATTAAGTCACATTTCTGATCTCCTCTTAATTTATAAGCTGACAAATACTTGTATATTTTATCTTCTAAACGTCTTAACTTAATCATTCCTCATCTAAGTTTATACTTACTTGTTAAATATTACTAAGTATTATGTCATGTAAACTTATCGTGAGTCAATTTTATTATATTTACTCATTAAAAGATATAATTGAAAAGTATAATAATATAAAGAACTAAAATTGGAACTTTTTTAATAATAAATTTAAAACATCCAAACATCAAAGTTTAAACAAATATTTAGCCAAAATTCTACAAACTTTCTGGTATACAATAAAAAATTATATCAGTTTATATAAAATAAGAATTTAAAAAAATATAAATTATTATTATTATTATTGAATATAACAAGTGAGATAGAGATTTGAACTAGTGATCTTTTGGTCAAGTGCCTTAATTAATTGAACTAAGTTTAGTGTGCAAAATATATGAGTGGAAAAAAAACATGTTTATTAAACTTTTGTTTTTTTAGTACAACATATGGGGAGGTATCGAACTCTCGCCTTCTTGATTGGAGATATATATCTACATTTTTTTAATCTAATTAAATAGAATTGGATTAGATAATTCTAATCTTTATAGATAAAGTAGTAACTTTGTTAGAAAGGATATTTTCTTCCACGATGTATCATGGCTATTTATTTTCTAAGGTTTAACCATTTTAGCTCCATGGTTAATGTACCTATCTCTGACTAGAAGGTCATGAGTTCGAACCCTTGCCTCATACCAATTTTATTCGAATTTATGATCTCGTTGTCAAAGACAAATGCCAATGATCTAAACTATTCATGATCTCGTTCGCAAATGTCAATTATTACTAAACTAAACTAATGATATATTATTTATTGTTAATAACAAAAATATTTTTTTAAAAAGGAAAAAAAGTCGCTACGGCAATTCAATTCAAGAACAGCAGAAGGAATCCCACAAGAAAAACAACATAAAGATCAAATATTTAAAAATCAAAGAGTAGGTGATGATGTGAGAGGCAGCCAAAAGAATAATATGCTGCGGGTCAGAAACTAGAATAAATGTTGACTTCAACCAGTCTAATTAGGCGTACCCATTCAATAATATTTTTCTTTTTATTAATTTTGATTGCAGCAGCAATTCCCATTTCTAGATCGATGGGCAGTTTGTTGTCTCTATCCCAGATTGGTAAACAACAGTTTGTTTAAAACAAGTTGTTGAAATTAAAGTTTCAATTAAGCAATGTGATCCCGTGCCGCCTTGTCTCTCTATAATCCTCCGTGGGATTATAAATTTCACTACTTAGCTCGTTTAAAATCAATCCCTTCATCTGATTTTTCTACGAGAAAAAGAAGGGGCCAAGAAATTTCTATGGGGTTTGATTAATATTTGCGAAGCTGTCTGCTGCTGGGTGTACTTTTTTCTCTATGGGTATTTGTCAAATTGGAGAAAATTGAGCTTCGGAAAATGGTGAGTGCCCGCTGTGGACCGTGGAATTTGCTTTTAAACCATCAGGGAAGAAGGCATGCAAATGGGAATCGCGAGAGAGAGACTGAAGAAGAGGCAAGCATGATCGATGAAGAAAGCAGGGATAAATCAGCTTGGAGATTGGACAAGAAGCGGCGGCCGGCGTTCTCTGGGATAATTGTCGACGGCGGTGGCCCAGGGTGGCTCGACGGCGACAGTGTAGAGTCTGCAAAATGGAGACCCTATTTGGTAGCCATCCATGTCTGCGAAGATTCAGGTGTTGTTTTATTTTCTACTGCTGCATGCAGAGCTACTATTCGACTTAATGCCTATGATAAAGCTTCTGAATGAAAAGTAAAACTGAGGTTCTGATTTTCTGATTTCTATCATATTCTCCAGAAAATGGTTCAAAGTTCAGCAAAAGCTTTCCTGTGATGGAAATGGTGAGTGAAAAGTGCAGCCTCTGATCATTCTGTAATTAGTCAGTTTGTTTACAGGAACACAGTAGAATCATATGATTTATGACTTTTTATGGGTAGTTGATTTATTGAGGTGTTTTGGGTTTCAGAATGATTCGAGGGGTTCAAATTCAAGGGAATCTTTTGCTAAGAAATTGATCAAGAGACTAGCTAAGCAAAGAGCTATGCCTACGGCAGTAACATTAGAATTCGACCCGACCGGTCCCCTTGGGTAGGTTAAGCTACGAATATCTACCTAGAAAGTTGGTTTGGGCTTTGTCTAACTTAACATTGGAATTGTCACTCAGGAATTGGGTTTCACTTGCCAAATGCTATGCCAATCAACTCCCTGCAGCTAGTATTGTGCTTGCTGTTCACAAGGGAAAGACTATCTTCAAAAGGCAGTCAGTTGATCAGTTTAGAGGTTTGAATTGCATCTTGAAGATTATTTATTTCAAACTGTTTATATGTTTGCTGATGCACATAAAAATTTTCAGGTTTTCAATTAGACTTGAGGCCTGAGTTCTATTTCAGTGAAGTTAATACTACCTCCAGAGATGCAAAGGCATTGAAGGAAGATAGTGAGTTCCTTGTTGAAACGAACTCGATAAATGGAAATATGAACAGTCAGAATAAGAAAGCTCTTCTGGGTTCGATTTCTGTTATCCGAAGACAGATTCCAGAATCAAATGTCGGTTGGCCACTTCGACGGAGAAGTTCTCACGGAGGTCAAGAGGTTTTGAGAAAAGGAGCTAGAAATGTGTCTGTGGTTCAATGGGTAATGAGCCTGCCTAATAGATCAGCTGTAAAGTTACCAAAAGAGCAGAGTGATATGGCTTTTGAAAGACCAGAAATTTCTTTAAAAAATGAACTTGAGGGGATTGAAGGAACCAGTCCTCTGGTGATTCAGATCTTGGGAGATGAGGCTGGAGACAGTCATGAAAATCCAAAAGACAGTGAAATTGGTAATGAAGTCAAGCAAAATGTAAAAATGGCCCTTTCAGTCTCTTTTATTGTAAAAGAATTGCAACAAGAAACAGAGTCATTTCAAGAAACAGAATCAGAGACGAGCCTGTCTAACCAAACAACTGACACAAATTTGGAGTCCCAGATTGGTTGGGTTTCAAATAATTCAGAAGAGCAAGTAGAAAGGGTAATGTTTAATCATTCCAAAGAAATGAATATTGAGAATAACGCTCTCGGAATTGTGTCCAACCAGCTGGAGCTTCCTATCAAGATGAATCAATCAGGTAGCAAGTGGTTCACCTATGCAGAGCTAGAGATAGCAACTTCCAATTTCTCCGCAGGTTGGCTATTTTGATCTTGGAGACATATATTTCATATAATACATGGGCTTTATTTCAATCACCAAACTATTCTGATTAAAATGGTAAAGTACCATTCCTGAACATTGTATTTAATAATTAAACAGAAAATCTAATTGGAGAAGGAGGTTGTAGCACTGTATACAGAGGATGTCTTTCCGATGGCAGTTTCATTGTAGTAAAAGTTTTGAAGTCGTACAAGGGAGCTCGGGACGACTTTTTGTTGGAAATAAACACCGTCTCCTCAATCAACCATAAACATATCACGCCTCTTATTGGTGTGTGCATGGAAAATGAATGTCTTATGTCGGTATACGAATACTTTCCTGAAGGCAGTTTGGAGGAACGTTTGCACGGTAATTTCCTATGACTTCCATGGTTGTTTCTTTTCTTTGAAATTGCATTGCACTTATTGTAATTGTGTGGATGATTCTTTGAGGTAGTTCATAGTGGAAGAGGTAAATTTCAATGGGAAATGAGGTTTAAAGTAGCCGTTGCTGTTGCGGAGGCATTAAATTACCTTCACAACGAATGTTCTCCGCCTGTTATTCATAGAGATGTTAAATCTTCAAACATTCTTCTCTCTGACAAGCTCCAACCCCAGGTGATACTTCTAACATATCGTACCATGTGTATGCATCGTCCCAACAAATAGATCTAAGGCTATTTGAATGACATTATGTTTCTTGGAAGTAATGTGGAAAGTTGCCAGAAATTTCTATAACCGTAGCAGTTCTCTCTGTTGCAGCTATCAGATTTTGGGCTTGCTATGTGGGGGCCAACAGATTTATCATATGTAATAAACACTGATGTGGTAGGGACGTTTGGATATATCGCTCCAGAGTATCTCATGCATGGAAGGGTCAGTGACAAAATTGACGTTTATGCCTTCGGTATTGTCCTTCTCGAACTTCTGTCAGGCAGACGTCCCATCGATTTCAGTGTTAAAAGACAAGGAAGCTTAGTCCTGTGGGTAAGTTTTCTCGATATGTTCTGTACTTAACTTTTATCATGCTACTTTTTTCCATTGTTCATAACCATCTTAAAATGCTACTCACAGGCTAAGGAAGTGTTAAACAGTGGGGATCCTAAGGAATTAATGGATCCAAGCTTGGATATAGACTTCAATGATGTTCAGGTTCAAAGAATGGTTTCAGCAGCCACCCTATGCATTGATCCTTCGCCTCGGCTACGTCCGAATGTGAGCAAGGTAATAAAATCAGAGCTTTCCATTCGTTATTTCTGGTTGGTGAAATAAGAGTTTATATATGTTCCTATCCTGCAGTGTTTCAAATTGTTACCACTTGCAACAAGTTCCAATTTTGTTTAGAAATTTGGGGGATGCGGCTCCACAAATTCTTATTTTCATTATCACGTTGTTACGTCATTAGATCAATTGAGTTTGAACTAATTATATACATGTGTTTGTGCTATCATGCTCCAGATACTGAAGCTATTAAAAGGAGAGGCATACATCGATGACATTGTAAATTTCCGTGGTTCGGAGGAGCTACACGACATCGATAATATTTTTCCAAAGTTTGTTAGCAAACCCAGTCTGAGTTTTGCACTCCGTGACATAGACTATGACTGTACATCGTCGAATAATACACATACAACATCGAATAATACACATACAACATCAAATACTGCTGCGAAAAAAACCCGTCGTCTGAAGTTAAAGGACTACTTGAAAGAAGAGCAAGAATAACTTGGAAGAGGCTATATAATGAGGCAGATAAAGGCAAGCTTTCGACCACGAATCAATGGGGGAAAAGGAAAGGAAAAGCAATGTAGATGCCGCTGCTGCATGAGCCAGATTTTTTAGCAGGTCAAAAATGCAGTTGAGTTGAAATACAAACACCTCTTTGTCCATAGCATTATGTAAATAAAAATAAAAATAAACAAATGATCAATGTGTATAGCCAAATATTTGGCCACGAGTCAAAATTTTGTTCATTTTTTTAATCCTCTTTTTCAGGGTTGGTTGGGAAGCTTTTTCGACACAAAAATACATTCTTGTACGCAAACTTGTGCATAGCTCGTCGATTAATACATAAATTATGTACCAAAAGGTAAAACAAATAAATAAATAATCGCAACTTGTGATCAATCTTATAAAAAGAAAGATTTATTTTTAGTTCTTTAAGCAATAACCTATATTAAACATAAAGTTGGAAATTTATAGACCAATTATTTGATCATTGACACAATTTTAAAAGTTAATAAAATTTATAATTTAACATTTATTTTATTTGGAAAAAAAAAGAAAAAATTGACCAAAAAAAAAAAAAAAAAGAACTCGTCTTCAAGAAGGTCGCTTTGGGCTTTGGTCATTTCTGAACATTACAACTCAAAAAGCTCCCATATGTTTGCCGCTCTTTTCATCTAACAGGTGCCATCATCGCTCACTCTCCATTTTACCATTTCTTCTTCAACTCCAGGTGATTTCTCTCTTTACCCTCTTCGTATCTCATTAATTAGTTTTTCTTACATAATCTTCGAGTTGTATACATACAATTAGCCGAATCAGTTAAAGAAAATTCGGTCTTTATCTTGAATTTCGAATTCTAGGGTTTGGTTTAGTATCTAATTCGAAGATTCTGCAACGATGTCTGCAATGGTGTATGTATAGGTTAACTGGGTTTTTTTTATTCCCACCCTCCCCGCTTTCTCTCTTTCTTGTTTTCTAATGTTTAAATTCCTCGTCCATGCATGGGAAATGTCAAAGTTTTCTTGTTTTAATTGTTGTTTGATTACTAAATCACTGGATGCGTTCGTGCGAGTGAAACTACAACCCGGGTATCTCAGGATTTCAAATTGTTATTTGATTGCTAAATGGCCATACATTTGCTTTTTCCAGACTCGTATGAAACAGCGAGAATGACGTTCTCGTTTCTCTTTATCTTAACTTACTGGTAGCATTTTTGTTTCTCTCGATTTAGCATCTGCTTTGTAGTTTATTGTCAGGATATCTTACGTTCTCTGTCTTAAATTTGATCTGAGAACTATAAAATTTTCAATATTCTTTGGAACTGCAAGCTGTTCCCTGTCTTGGTTTATCTTTCCCACGTAGAGAACTAGAGAACCATGTACTTTTATTGTTTTTAATTCGTTAACCAAACCGAGTACAGAAACTTTCATGGTTATAGATGAGTTCGTCAGAATATGGGTAGGATTATCTTATATCATATAATTATAGCCATAAATTGATGGTTGAATGAGTGATCGACCAACACTCTGTTTCCCTCGTATTATTTTTCTGTTGGTGCAGCATTAAGTTAAGGGCGAAGAGCGCTGATGGTGGAAGTATGGTGGTCGATATTGGGGGCAGCTATTCCAGCAGTAGTTGCAGGGCAAGCATACAGAATGAGGAGAAGGCATTCTGAGGAGCAGAAAATAAAGACTGCTAGGGGAAGGGAGAAGAATCCAGATGACATTTTTGTTTGTGAGAGGGTCTGCACATCAAAGAGAATGTTGAAAAAGGTGGGCTCTTTCTCGAAAGACCCGATTCCCGATACTTGCGTGACTGTCTGTGGAGTATCTGAGCTCGATGCCTGCACAGATGCCTGTGCTCGCACCGTTTGTGTGAACCAGCATCAAGTACCAAACTGGAATGACGTTTGTCTTAGGAGATGCCAGAGCGAATGTCTCAGGCTTTCTGCTTCGCGTTCATCTTAGTGAAATGATATGATGCCTAAATGATGCAGTTTTTCCATTCATACGATGTATTGCATTTTGGGTTGTGAACATTGGCTAGGGAACTTTTGGCTTTCTGGAGATGAAATGAAAATGTTTTTCTCAATTTACACAAGTTTCTTTGTTAGATAATTTTGCTTATTATCTCCTCCCAACCCCCAGATTTCCAATTTTCAGCATTTTGTCTAATTACACAATAAATACTGGACCTATCATTGGTTTCTAAAGACATGCCTTAACCACCTTGAGTCTCCCTCCTCTCTGAGCTAATGCATTCACCATTGGATTTTTCTATGTCCAAAGATAGAGTCTAGATATATTCCTCGAGTACTTTTGTAAAAGTATACTTATTTTACACTTAAAAGATTAAAGATTAACCATTATGGGTTGAGTTCAAACTATAATGGCACTTACCTATAATTTAATATCATACGAGTTACCTTAACAAACAAATGTAGTAAGATAAAAATTAAATATCTCAATATTTTTTAGTACAACAAATAAGGGGTATGGTGATTTACTAATTTGAACCTTCAACTTTTAAGATAAGGAGTAGATGTCATTTAGTGTTGAATTATGTCCAGATTTCGGTGTAAATATACTTTATTTGTGCATCGAGCGCTCCTTTAATTTAAGCCCTTTGTCCAACTCCTAAATACCAAAATCTTAAAGTTTGGATGTGATACGAGCAACATAACATTTCAAGCAAGAAACGGAGAATTTTTCTCTTTACCATTCGCTTTCTTGGTCTCAAGAATGCAAGTTTTACCTTTTTCTCGTCTCTCTGGTTGTTACTATTAGATTGCAATTTGAAACCTGTTATTATTTTCTGGTTTAGCTCCATCAACTTGACTCATAACTTAGAAGTAGTAAATGAATGAATGGATGAAAGGGAATTGATAATGTATGGAAAAATCTAACATAAAAGAAGAAAAATAGATGGAAAATCTTAAAAAGGTGGAACACATCTGGTGATTGATCAAAGTTCATCATGAGAAGGTTGGTCCTTATCCTTATCTGCGAGGTTCTCTTTCACCTTGTGGACTGCTTCCGCTGCTGATTTTGCAGATTCCTCAACTGCCTCTTTGCTTGCTTCAAAGCTCTTCTCCACTGCTTCTTTCATTTCATCCACCACACCCATGCTGCCTTTTCTTTCATCTCTACTCCTAAAACTGCAATCACAACGCAAAATATATACCACCCCCATCAAATATCATCATCAATCTTATACCACTTCAATTTTGTCTGTCTACATTGAGTTTTGCTCTTCAAATAAATGGACAATGGACAACTAAAATGATTTCTAAAATGAGTTTTATGCAAAAACTAAAATTTGGAAACTAAAAGAGAATGATGGAGAAAGTTTAATGAGCAGAAGAAAATGAAGTGTGAAGATTGGTTAATTACTCTAAATTAGGAGGAAAAAACTGCAACTGCATCTGGTGCATGAGACTTTTCATCTTTCCCCAGGAAGTCTGATGGGATTTCTTCCATACAGCAACAGTTTCCTGAATGAAGTTCCCAAAAGAGGGCCTCTCCGGAGCCGTATTGGCAGATTCCTCTGCAAAAAACGAAGCAACATGAAGCATCAAAATGAAGAACAAAAGAAGCAATCTGCATCCAGTTTTTGGCTTGTAAATTTCCATGGCCATCTCCCAAAAAGGGATCTCATTCAAACCCGCCATGCCTTTGTAGTCTAGTTTTGCCACTTACAGTTTGTTGGCTTGAAATTTGGACAGACAGTTTCCATTTGCTTCCTTACCTTTAGGCTCTACTTTTGAACACTTCTCCAAACCTCATGTGGTTTAAAATTTAACTGAAAATTGCAAATAATTTTATATAAAATCATAGACACTTGTAGTCTCACTTTTACCTTTTAAAATATACAACATTAATCTGTCAATTTTTAACTAATAAAATTTCATGTTTTGGTTGATATACCTTAACCCATCGATTTAGGTTTATGTTTTTGGTCTATAAAATCTCTACCTAATAATACCAATGTAATTAATGAATAAATGATAATGTAATATTTAAGAGTATGTCACGAATGTCAAACATCCACCATTCTATCCAACTAAGAAATCTTGCTAATCCTATCAAATAAAAGTCGGCATTTTCGTGTATATATATATATATATATATATATATATATATATATATATTATAATATGGTTTTCTATTTATTTTAATTTATAAATATAATTTAGAAAATAAAATAACATATTTTCCATAAAAATTATTTTCTTATAATAATCAAATTACAAACTAATAATATATGCAATTCTCGAAAAGAAAAAACTCTTCAATTAGATACAAATCTTTTTAGAAAATTCATAATGAACGAGACGATTAATCTCAATCTTAATTGGCTAACTTTTCAAATTTGTTTGTTTTTATGCATTTATTCACAATTAAATATTTTCAAATTTCATTAAATAAAACTCAACCATTAATATAACTCCCAGAAACTCTCAAGTCACCTTCTACTTCTATTTTTTTCTCACATTGATTTCTTATTTTTTCATTATTAAAATTAATCGAATCATATTTAAATCAATTATGCGGCCCAACAAATTAAAGTTCAAGTTTAACTTTATTTGGGCCAATGTCTCTGACCCGATAAGTGAAGCTTTCACATTGGGTTGGGCTTCTAGATTGTGCGCACACTTTTCTAATTAGAGCAATGAAATGTCCAGCTCTCGATAATGTGATGATAGTGTAAATGTTTCTTTTTGTTTCTTGAAACCATTTTTCCTTTCGAAAGGTATTCAGATTTTTATAATCTTTTTAAAATGCAAAAATAATGGCACACAGCAAGGTCACAAAGCGATTTCTTTTTTTTTTTTTAATTTTATTATTATATAATTTTATTCTATTTTTTTGCATGTTAATCAGAAAGTAGTCATTTAGCAGAAAATATTGGACGGTCAGAATCAACACAAAGAAAAGTCACAAAAATAGTATTTGAACATAAAATAATATTTAAACATACATTGAAAACTCACACATATTTAAACATAAATTTAAAAGTCACTTTTTCCTTTCTTTTATAGTGGAATTATTTTTTAAACTAATTTTTTTTTCCTTTTTTGTTTCTTCTAAATAATGGAAAAGGGGATGAGAAGGTATTTCTAGGTAATGTTTAAAAATTTAGATTTAAATTTTGAACATTTGACATTTTTAATAGATGATACGTTTGATTGAGTAAATTTAATTTATATATCGGATATCTAACACTCCCTTTACTTGTGAGTTTGGGAGTTCGAACAACCTCCGTTTTGATACTATGTTAAGGATGAATAAACCCCCGGCTTAAATTGATGGGTTGGATAAACTTAATTCATATATTGGATGATTGACCTAACAAGTTGACACCGTCCTTTCGTGGGATGCAAGCGGGAAAGAGACGGTGAGAAATGAGAATTAATTAATATGGAGTGGACGTGAGAGAGGTATGTATCGCCGGCGAGGATGGTTATGGATACAGAGAACCTGTCACCGTCACCGCCGGTAACACCACTTCTCCATACTCTCTTTTCCGCCATTGGGACGTTGCATTCAATTTTTACAGCCATTCCTCCAAACTAACACATATTGCATTCCCAACGACACTTGAGAATTAAATCTTTTTATAATAATAATAAAAAATAACCAATCTTGCATATATCTTAGATTCATGGATCAATTATTAAGTTTTGTCACTCATTTTATTAATTTACTTAAGTTATTTTCTTTATCAGTTAAATTATTGTAATTGGAAGATTTTTGATATTAAGAGATGACTGGTATTCTCATTCAACAATATTTTTCTGCCAGTGATGGGATATGCAATGCAAGTATGAACCTTTAAAATATAATTTATTTATTAATTTTGCTTGTATATATGCGTTGGTTCTTTAATTTTTCCCATGCTCATTTATGTCACAAAATTAATAGCCTAAATAAGTATTTTGACCTCTACTATCTTGTCAATTTTAGTCCATATATTATTTAAAATATTTCAACTCAATCCCTTATTCTTTTAACATTTTTCAATTATGTTGGGCTAAAAAAAATTTTTTTTTTTTAATTATACTCTTACTATCGACGAACATTAAAATTGACTGATAATAAGTTAAAGTCGCTAATATACCATGCCACGATACTTGACGGGTTAACACAATTTCAAAGAAGAGAAATCGGTGGATCACTCTTAAGAGACTAAAATTCTATTTTTTCTTTTATATAACCCTAATTTCTACCCTAAATACCAATCATAAATTTAAAAAAAAAATGTCCATTCAAAATTCCCCCCATTTTTGTATGTATATAACACACATTGCCACACTATCCCCAAAGGCAAAACTGTTGTACAGAGCATCAGAGCAAACAAAAAAACTCTCCAATGGCGTCCCTGGCCCTTGTCCCAATTCTCCTAGCCATCCCCTTCTTCATTTTCATCCTAATTTTCTCTCTCTCTCTCTTCTGGAACCCTCATGGGCTTCCATGGAACTGGCCCATTTTGGGCACCATCCCCACCGTGATCCGCCACATCCACCGCATCCACGACCGCATTACCGAAATCCTAATCCAAACCTCCTCCTCCACCTTCTCCTTCAAAGGCATCTGGTTCACCAACACCGACTTCATCATGACCGTCCATCCCCCCAACATCCACCACATCATGACCCTCCACTTCCACAACTACCCCAAAGGCCCCGACTTCCGCCACATCTTCGACATCCTTGGAGACGGCATCTTCAACTCCGACCACGACTCCTGGCGGGCCCAGCGGCGGACCGCCCAGGCCCTCATCGGCGACCGCCGCTTTCTCGACTTCATGGCCCGGGCCGCCACCGAAAAAGTGGCGAAGGGGCTCGTGGGGGTGCTGGATTTCGCCAGCCAAAAGGGGTCGGTGGTTGACTTGCAAGATCTGTTTTTGAGACTGGCGTTTGACTCCACGTGCATGATGGTTACTGGGTTTGATCTGAATAGTCTGTGCGTTGAGTTTCCGGAGATTGGGTTCTCGAAGGCGATGGATGAGGCTCAGGAGGTGATATTTGTGCGGCATTTGATGCCTAGATTCTTGTGGGAGTTGCAGAAGAAACTGCACATTGGAGAGGCCAAGAGGATGAACAAGGCTACGGAGGTTATAGATCACACCATTGCAAAGTTGTTGGCTATTAAAAGAGACCGGATTAAAGCAGCAGCTTCTCATCAGTTTAATCACGAATTTGATCATCAGCAGGATGACGCCGCGGATTTGATCACATGGTAAGTAGGAAATTCAAACTAATAACTTTATGTATGGTTACAGATAGTTGTTATTACTGCCAAGTTATGATTATATTTAGCTTTAATTAAAAATTTGTTTAATAACTATATAGATTTTGAATTATAATTATCCTTCAAAATTTAGAGGTTAAACTTATAGTGGGATAATTCTCGAATTTGCTCTTTAATATTTACCCTACAATTATTGTTTAAGTCGTTAAAGATGGGTTAACAAAAGTTGATATATTATTAAAGTGTTACTTTATTTAACATCTTTTATAATAATTTAATTACAAATATCGTAAAAATACCTACTTGACACATAAAACGAATAACATTGATATTTTGAATATCCATGCTCACAGTTCCGCCTATGTTTATAAAATAATAATATAATGACACATAACTCTCTATTAACAATTTTTTTTCTTAACGGAATATGACATAAATGAAAATGGTTAAAAATATAAAATAAATAGTTTAGAATCATTGGAAAAGAAATTGAGAATAACCTGTTTAATAACCCTTAGCAAATTTTGCCGGATTTAAATTCCGACCAAAATAGGTTCAAAAATTTCACTCTACACGTTATTGAACTAAGAAAATTACTTGAAGATTAAAAATTTCTTTTTTTTTCCTCTATTGACAGTGAACTAGTTTTTTTCTTTAATCTTTTTATTCATACTCTCAACGATAGGTACATGGTTAACAAACACGACGACAAGTTCTTGAGAGACACCATCTTAAACTTCATGATCGCGGGGCGAGATGCCTTGAGCATATGTCTCTCATGGTTTTTCTTCAGCCTCTCCCAAAACCCCAAAGTAGTAACAAAGATACGAGAAGAACTCAAAGCCATAATCCCACAACACAGCCAGTCCCCAAACCAACCCACAATCTTCGCCATAGAAGAGCTCGACAACCTCGTCTACCTTCACGCTGCTCTCTGCGAAACCCTCCGCCTCTACCCTCCGATCGCGTTTCAGCACAAATCTCCAGCAGAGGCCGACATGCTACCGAGTGGGCACCGCGTGAAACCGCACACTGTGATCCTCATCTCGATGTACGCATTGGGGAGAATTCGGTCCGTTTGGGGAGAGGATTGCGAAGAATTCAAACCGGAGCGATGGATATCAGAGAGAGGGACGGTGAAGAGAGAGGCGTCGTATAAGTTCTTCAGTTTCAACGCCGGGCCGAGGACTTGTCTGGGGAAAGGGGTGGCGTTTTCTCAGCTCAAGATTGTTTCAGCTGCCATTATTCATAACTACAACATTGAGGCAGTGAAAGAGAATAATGTGGTTACTCCGTCTGCCTCTGTCATGCTTCACATGAAGAATGGGTTCAAAGTTAGGGTTTCCAAGAGATGGTCTCATGAATGAACAAGGCTTTGCATTGCATGGGGAAATAATTAATAACAACGTTTGAGAATTAATTAATAACTATAAAAAAAAAATATATATATATATATAAACAAATATATATATATATATATATATATATATATATATATATATATATTAATTACAATATGGGCATGTTAATTAGTATTTGAATATGCATGTATGGAATGGGAATAGGGTTTCATATGTATTCATATATAAAATTAAAGGTTGCAGTATGGAAATAATAGTTTGTAAAATGTCTGGGATTTGGACTTTTTTTTCTTGAGGTATATTTACCTCTGAAAGTTTGAAATTTTTACCCAAATAAAACAATACAATTCAAATAAACTCAAACTTAAATATAATATAAAAGAACTTAAAAAAATTATGATACGTTAAAAAAATTAAAAAAAAAAGTTGTGACATTTTTAGAAGGAAAATACTTACCTCCTCAACAAATTGCTCTTTGAAGGAGTAAACATATAAAGATCAAATATCATTTCATCAGAGAATTGATCAAAGATGGAGAGTATGCATCAAGCATTGCAAGACACAAGATCAAGTTGTAGATATATTTACAAAATCATTGAAAACAGACTTATTCTTGAAAATGAAGGAGAAGATTGGAGTTACGGAAGTCTAGCTTAAGGGAGGATGTTAGAGTTTAAGCTAGATTAATTCCCTATACACATACATGAATTCTTAGGTACATGAACTGTTAGATAAATGTAAGTTAATGTGTTGAGAGATACATGAAAATGTTATGTACATGTATATATCTCTATTTATTTTGTATCTTTTTAGATGTGTCTCTTGGATGTTATATAAAAGGATCACTTCCCTCATTTGTAAGCAAGAAAGAAAGAAGCAAATCGAACCATTTCAATCAAGAAAGAAAAGAGAACAATATTCTTATCTTGTGTGTGTTCTTTAGTTTCATAAGAGAACAAATTTCTTCTCTTCAAAGTTGGTGAGATTTAGAGTGATTTTTAGGGAAGGCTTATCAACCTTTCCAACAAATAATTGCGCTCCTCTTTTATGTTTTTTTAAGAAATTGTTTCCTTACTGGGAATCAAAATCATAATGAATCGGTATGAAAATCAATCAAAATTAAACCAATCAGAGTTAAAATAGAGTAAAAATGTTACTCTTTTGATATTGTTTACTAGAAGTTTTTTAGAATCGGAATTAGAAATCCGGTTTATTAAAATTGTCTAGAATATAATAGGAATCAAATATAATACATTATTTTGCAAATATTTTTTTAAGTTAAAAAATTAATACATTTTAAATTTTAATTACTATTTTATTGATAATAAATATTTTTTATTATAAAATTTTATTTAATATACAAATAATAAATAATGAAAATAAAATTACATCAATTAAAACAATTTTTTGGTAGAAGAACTAACGTTTAGTATAAAATAGTATTGTTCTAATATTTAATAATAATGGATTTTATTTGAAATAACAAAGTAAAATTAAATATAAATTTATAATAAAATTAAATAATTACCAAATGAAATATAAATTTATAATAAAATTACAACTAATAAACTAATAAAAGTTGTATACAATTTTACTAGGAAAAAAATTATTAGTAGTATAAATAAAAAAAATAAAAAAAGTGAAACAATTAATTAAAAAACTATTTTTTTTAAACCCCATGCTTGAATGAGAATAATGAGAATGATTGGAACCAAAGAGCTCAAATACAATTAATTAATTAAAAAACTATAAATCTAATTAATAGATGAGAAAGATCGTACAATAATTATAATAAAAGAGTAAGACCCATAGAATAATAAATGAGAAGGGAAGATGAGGTTGTAGGAGATGAAAATGATGTGATTACAATTTTTTAGGAGATAAGATTACAAATTTTGAGGTGGTTCTCACCACTTAATTTCATTCCTATAATTTAATAACCGGATAGTACGCCAGTGATGGAGTATAAATGATAATATTATTTTACTATTTACTATACATTTTCTCCAAATAAATGAATGGTTGTAATATATATATACCCATACCAATTTGTAATTATAATAGAGACCAAGGTAGCCCCACCCACATCTACAATACATATACAAAATTCCTAGAACATAATTGTTTATATATTAATTAAAAATTAGCTAAATTGAGGTGATAAATGAAACTCTAATTTATCTTTTTAGATATGAAAATTGGTCTTTGTACTTATAAAAAAGTGACCATTCTAGTGCGATTTGAATCCTCAAGCTTCAACCAACATTTTATTTTTTCAAATCATTCGATACCGGAAGTATTATTTTCAAAATTTTCCTTTAATGTTTTGATGGGTCGTCTAAGCTTTAGGGCAGTAAGAATATGTTGTAATTTTTCATTGGATGGCCTACATATATATGTATGTATCCCTTTCAAATTACTATCATAAATGCATAGGTTGTTGAAAGCACTTACAGATCATAATGGCACTATAAATGCATGCACCAATTAGGAGTGAGATGGGTTGAAAGCAATATTGGCATCTCAATTCTCAATACTGCATGCCAGTCCATTTGGAATTTCCCTTTGTATTATAATAACAAATTAGGGACAAGCTTGAAATAATTGGAAATCAAATATTTCTCTTTGAATTCATATGGAAATTAATAAATATGTCTTAAAAGTAACAACACAGGTAAGTTTTTGTTTTACTATTCAAAATGGAGGTAAGTAATTTCATTAATTAGTTTTAGCTTCTCCATCCTCGTCTTGTAAAAATTTTAATTACATATGTACTACTACTATCGATAGAGTTTAGATAGTGCCCTTACTTGTTATTAGTAAGATAGGCAATGTTTGCCTCTCCTAATGTTTAGTTATTAAACTATTTCTAGACAAAATTCCTTATCCACGAAATTATTATTTAGATTCGACCATATACACTTTGAAGTTAACTATTATTCACTGAATTTTCTAGCGGCAATTTGAAGATCCACCTGGCAGAATTGACGTGCCATCCCCTGTGAGCATAAATTATTTGCCAATTGTAATCTTCTCCTAATCAAAATCAAGCTAAACTCTAACACATAAGATGATGATCATATGTCTAAATTGTCATAAAAGTATAAAACTAACAGTAAAATTGTCACGCTTATTCTCTTCGGCCTTGGTCTAAGTGGCACCCTGCAATTAGTTCCATAATAAATGTATGGTTCGTGGAAACCAAACCGAGATAGGGGTGACACTACAATGCACCCAACAAGTGGGTGGTTGAATCTTGATGTGAACCTATGAGTTGTTTATATGCAGCCAAATTAATTAATTTGCCCTCTTTACGATCGAATGTTTAGAGTATAATTTGTTGGTGTTAGATTTTTTTCCCTTTTTCTAATGAATGCCGATGACACGTTATCCACTTGAACATAATTTAATAGATAAGATATTACCACTATTTCAAAGTTGGTGGTTGGATCTCATCTCTAAAACTGTTGAGCTGTAAAGGAAAACAAAGAAAAAAAAGAAAGAAAGAATAGAGTTGATAGAGTAATCTCTGAAAACGAGAGAGATCTCTTGAATTGATATTTATGGGTGTTTTAATTGGGGATATGGGCAAGTAGTGTGAAGTAGTTCTCAAGTGTACCATATGCAGTAATTGCTGTGTGATAGATGTTCTGCTTTTCTCATTTCTGGTGTGTGTCGGTTTCTCCAACGTAGAATTGACAAATTTGGGTTTGTGTAATTTGGACTGTGAGAAGTCAAAATTTATGTGGTACGCTCGTATTTAAGATTATAGAGAAGAAATATTGAGTCACAAAAAGGATTATTATTATTTTTATTTTTTGAATACAACATGTGAGTGTAGAGATCGAACTCACAATCTCTTGGAGATATATGTCAATTACGACCTATGCTCACTTTGTCAAATTACAAAAAGGATTATTTATCTAATTTATTTGTGTGGTTATATATATGTAACACCTAATTAAGAGATCAACTTAAAAAATGTGGATTCATATAGCTTAAATTTTTCTAGTTCACAAGATTATTAAATTTATAGTCTGAAATAAACAAACTTATATATAAAAAAAAGTACATATGGTCAGCTCCATCCATCATCCTATCTTTCATATATATTTGTTCTTTACCTTTTTACCTTATAACTTACCTACGTACATACATAGATATATAGATATAGATATATATATATAGATATAGATATATATATAGATGTCTCATTTAACCACTTTCAATCAACTGTCAACACGAAAATATCTCTAATAGGTAAGATATTTTACTTATTTTCTTGAAGTTCACCTTTACCTTTGTTGCATAAAGAAAAAAAAGAAAAAAAAAAACTCAATCTATCTATGAGTCAAGTCCTTGAATGTTCAATTAGGCAGAGATACATCAGAACGCTATACCTTTTTAAATATCTTAACCACTAAGTTCTGTTCAGATCGGTGTGACGATACCATATTTCTTGAATTCAGATTTTCACTCCCATAAAATCATAACTTGTTAAGGATTCACATTGAAAATATCCAAAGGACTTAACAAAGTTTATAAATATATAAGTTACTTTTTTTTTTTTCAACTAGTTTTAGGTATATTAAGATGGTATCATAGTAAAAAAAAATTGGTATGATATTATCATTCACATTTTAGTTTTGGAAGAGAATTAAAAGGGTAATATGGAAAGAATTTGAATGTGAAGCTGGTATTTGCTGGGAAGAGAGTTGAATTATACAAGGCCCATAGCCCACCACATTTGGGCTTCACTTAGGAAGTGTGCACTTTCTTTGGTTGGTCGAGCAAAAGTCAAACAATTACACAAAAAAACAATCTCTTTCATGTTAATTTTTATCCAATTGTTGGAGTATAATTCAGCTAGATTTTATCATGCTCTTTATTAAATAGTCTTATACTGTTTTATATGGTTTTATATGTCAGCTCCTCTATTATTATAGCCTCTAATAGTTGTTCTACAAGTTAGCACTCAACAATATTAATAGTAGAAAAAAAAAATAAACAATATTATAATATTAGGCTAGCC